AAAGGTAAATAGACCAGACCCAAAACCAAAAACTTCCAGATAGATGACACATGTACTGGAACCCTGGCATGTAATGAAATGAGTCTGCATCGTAGTGATATGGACTGCCACAGAAGGGTAAGGAATAGTCCTTGGTTTCCCTATAATCAACTATTTTTACTCATTCTGCTTTAAAATTCTATACACCATCTATACTCACATATCATATGTAGATACAATCCCTATGTGGAGACACGCATACATGTGCGCACCCCACCCCACTTATGCGATGGGAATGAGAGAACTAAAGGGTTAAAGGAATCTGTTTCAGTTGTTTGACCTTCCTCCATTACGTCTTTCCTTCCTGTTTTATACCAGTACCTCACAGATATTAGCCAGTACGTAAATAACAAGCACTAACTGGATACATGCCCGAACCGAATGAAAGAATAAAGGCTCCTGGAACCCAGAGACTGGAATAGAACACAGAGCCGCAAGACCCAGGAGAGTTTGCAGTAAGTGGGAGTTTCTGGATGCGACTCGATAGTTGAAATGATATAGGTACTGCAATAACTGCAACAGTCACAATTATATCATTGCCATTATATAGGTTTTGTTGTTGTTATGATGTGGTTCATGAGTTGAAGGCTTGGTCCCCAGCTGGTGCTGCTATTAGAAGGTGCCTGGATGATGGAGCTTCTAACATCAGGAATGGAGTAGCCCACTGATGGGGTAGTAGCTGAATGGGCTATTAGGAGAAGCCTGGTTGGAAGAAGTCATTAGGTTGAGGGTGCTTTAAAAGGGTGTATCTTGCCCCTGGTCTTCTCTATCTATTGTCTACCAAGAGGTGAGCCCACTGTTCCACCACACATCCCCTGGCCCCTTCCATAAGGTATCTGAGCCCCAAATTAATGGTTCCAAGTGACAAATGAAACATCAGAACTTACAACAAGATGGAAGTGAAATTCCTGCTGGACATAGGAGGTCCATGCCTGAAATCCCAGCTACTCAGGAGGCTGAGATCTGAGGATTGTAACTTAAAGCCAGACCAAGAAAAACCAGGAGAATCTTATCTTCAAATTAACCATCAAAATGCTGAAAGAGGAGAACTGTACTGCAAGTGGTAGAGTGCGAGCCTTGAGCAAAATATCTAAGGGACAGCACCCAGGCTGAGTTCAAGCCCTAGTACTGGTGCAAGCACACATGCATGCACACACGCATGTCCATACACACACATGCACACACAGACTTGCACACGCACACACAAAGAAATGTAAGCTAAATTCCTATGGGTAAAAGAGTTCTTGGAACCCATCAGATAATCATGTTGTATACTAACGAAGCATTTCTTAGTATATCCAAAGCAGTGAAAATTTTAATCTAGTGTTTCTTTCCCCAACAGAACACCTGGTAAAGATTTGGCTTTTGTTTAGGGGCCAGATCGCACGAGAAAATTGCCTTAAAATGTACACATGCATAGTGCAAGACTGTTTGTCAGGAGGGGGACTTAGAGATAGAGAAGAAGCCTGCAGAGCAGACTCCTGCTTTCTTCTTCAAATCTTCTCCTGGATCTTCACCCGTGGAGAGACATGGAAGGCAAAACCACCTTGCATTTTTACTTTGGTTGTATATGTTAATGACAATATTAAATATATATATATATATATAGTGATGTGATGATGCTGTATAAAAGATATGGACATATTAGAAGGAGCAGCCACCAAGTTACAGCATTTGAGCAAAGTATGAAAACAATACAGGAAGTTTATGGGAAATTTTAAGTTGAAATTCCTAGACTTGGGTTTAAGTTCTGATCTAATTTTTGTTGTCTGATGTTACTGAACTCTGCATTGTCACTTTCTCATTTGTTTCTAACTCTGCATTGATTTTCATGAGAGTAAGTAATAACACTTGGCACTTAGTAAATATCCAACAAGTGGTAAATCCTTCTTGCTTCTCTTACATCCCCTAAATATATAACTGAGCATTTGGGGCAGTGAGGGTTACATTAAAAGTAACTGTTATATTACCAGGTATAAATCAGAGTCATCCAAAATGAATATAACATTAAGCCATGTAATTTAAAATTTCCTGGTAGCCACATTTTTAAACAGTATAAAAAGAAGTTAAAATACATTTCTTTTTTTTTTTTTTGGGGGGGGGGGAGGGGTCCAGTCGTGGGGCCTGAACTCTGGGCCTGGGCACTGTCCCTCAGCTCTTCAGCTCAAGGCTAGCGCTCTACCACTTAAGCCACAGCGCCACTTTCCGGCGTTTTTCTTTTTCTTTTTTTTTTAATTTTATTTTATTTGAGAACATACTGTACAGAGGGGTTACAATTACATGGGCAGGATAATGCATACATTTCTTACCAAGCATTGCAGCCTCCTCCTTTGTTTACCCTTCACCTCCCTTCCCAGCCTCCCCCCTCCCCCCCACCCAATCATACCCCCCTCCCCCCCCACACCGACATTGTAAAGCTGGTTTTGACATGACATTTTGTACTTCTCATTGTTGCAACGGCGTTTTTCTTTTTGCTTATGTGGTGCTGAGGAATCGAACCCAGAGCCTCATGCATGCAAGGTAAGCACTCTACCACTGAGCCACCTTCCCAGCCCATTAAAATACATTTTATACAACCCAAATATATGCTATGTACTTTCAACAGTCAATGTAAAAATCATCACCACTGTATTTTACATCATCTTTTTCATTCTTTAAAATCCACATGGGATTTCACACTTAGCACATAAATAGGACTGATTATAGCTGCTCAATAAACAGCCCTCTAAGGCTAGTGTTCTGATCATACTGGCCAGATAAGCTCTAATCAATGGTGAACCATGGGAAGATTTATACAAAATAGAATGCTTTGGAAAGACGAGAGTTTGAGGCAGTGATTGGGTATGTTATAGGAGAGAAAGGACACAAGCATAAAGATCAGCTATAAAGTTGCTATCTGAACCTAGTGAATAGTCATTCAGGATCTGACAAAGGGTAACATTACTAAGAATGACAAAGATGGACATGGGGGTACCAGTAGCTCATGCCTTAGCTATTCAGGAGGCTAAGATCTGAAGATTGTGGTTCAAAGCCAGCTTGGGCAGGAAAGTCTCCAATTATCCACCAAAAAGTAAAGTTGTAGCTCAGATGGTAAAGTGCCAGTCTGGAGTGAAATTACCAAGGGAGAGCGCCCAAACCCTGAGTTCAAGTCCCAGTACCGGCATAAAAAATGGAGGACGTGGGGCTAGGAAGGTGGCTCAGTGGTAGAGCGCTTGCCTTGCATACCTGAGGCCCTGGGTTCAATTCCTCAGCACCATATAAGCAAAAAGAAAAAAAGAAAAAATGGAGGAAGTGTGAGCAAGTGCAGTCACTATATTCAATGTACATATGTAAAAACTGAACTATGTAACCAGACGGTCTGTATGGGAGAGGGAAAGATGGAGAATAATGAAAGCGGTAATAGTGATCAAGATAAAGATACATTATACTCATAATCTAGTGAAATTGAAACCCTCTTTGTACTTAAAAAAAAATCAAGAGAGAGAGAGAGAGAGGCCAAAATGGGATAAAGAAGAGAAGTAATAAAGTTCAAAATTCACAGGATACAATGATTGATGTAAAGTGGGAGACAGAGAAGGAAAAAAAAGACTGAAGATGGAGCTGCTAGGCTGGGTACAATACAACAAAAATAACTGGCTTTTATCTAAATAAAAGAGCAAAATGGGGCTGGGAAGGTGGCTCAGTGGTAGAGCGCTTGCCTTGCATGCCTGAGGCCCTGGGTTCGATTCCTCAGCACCACATAAGCAAAAAGAAAAAAGCCGGAAGTGGCGCTGTGGCTCAAGTGGTAGAGTGCTAGCCTTGAGCTGAAGAGCTGAGGGACAGTGCCCAGGCCCAGAGTTTAGGCCCCATGACCGGAACCCCCCCCCCAAAAAAAGAGCAAAATGTTTCCACACACCTCTAAATAGAAGAGCTAAATGTTTCCACACACCTGACATCATATGGTTTCTAATTTAGCCTACTTGGTTATAGAAACCAATTCTCAATATCCTTCTTCAACTATTAAAGAGAAACAAAAAAATAGGTAAATGTGCCTGTTAATGAGGGACTGGGAATGTTGACCAGGGGTAGCCCGGTAACTCCTCAAAGGCACAGATAAATCCTGTTTGCCTATCTAACCCTCCCTAAGCAAGCATCTACATCACAGCGGCCTCTGTATAAAATCACTACAGCTTTGTTGAGTCAAATGGAGTTACAGCACCATACCGAACAGTTTTCACTATATACATGCATATACAAATATATATATATAGGTTTATACGTGTATTTATACACACTCACACACATATATACATATATGCATTTCTGCTTCTTACCTATATGTGTGTATATATATCCATCTTTAAATGTGATTAAAATATTTCTAGAGAACTCAAGTTCTAATCCCTTCCTAGTTTTTTTCTTACAAAAAAAATTGTAGTTTCTGTTGTGATATCTTTAGTAGTGTATATTCATAAAAACTTGGTTTTCTCAATGAATTTTAACCAATCCCTGAATTAGCATTTCTGAGGAATAACAGGGAAAAGTAATAAGGATTTGTTGTACCACAGATTCTTTCAGGAATGGATGGAAACTCCGAAAAGTCCCCCAAGTACATGTTAGGATTTCCCTCAGAATTAACTAATAAATACAGAATGCATAAATCTAATATAGAAAAGCTATGTATAGTTAGACAATAAAGTGGAGAAATGCGAATACTATTACAGGTATACAACTGTAAGAGAACATCATAGATAATTATCTTCCTGCTGTCCTTCTCATCAAGACAGTCCCGGGATATGGGATGGGGAATGAAATATTAGGAACATGTTTCCGTCATAAATTTCTAGAGAATGACTCAAGGTCATCAAGGGATACACAAAAGCAGTTAGATGAATTGTACGTTCTCTTCCCAACCAGGAAGTCGATCAAGAGCAGATACCTGCTTCTTAACCTCCCCTACCCCAAACCGCATCATTTCTTACCTCAGCGAGGAGGTGCTGGATTACCACGGTGAGTGCTTCAAACTTGGTATTACCACAAGAAAGAAGCTGCTTGAGCTGCAGGATAAATCCACTTTGGTTTTCACATTTTGTTTTATACTGAGCCAATTCAAGTGTTTTCTCAGAGGAAAACACATCTGGAGATGTCTGGGTCTGGATGCACAGACTTCTGGGATGCTTCTGCCTGCCCTTTTCAACTGCAAGAGAAACCAATACAGACACAAAGATATGCACGGTCAATTTCTATCATCAGCACCACCCGGGTTCAAAAAGTAACTAGATGAGCCACAGCCATGCCTTCAAGTCATGCTTACTTAAAGAAGGAAAGCATCAAAGATCTAGATGTTTGGGAATTCATAAACACAGCAATGGCTTTGGTTCCGAACTTAAAAGATCAATGTGGGATAGGAAATCAGGCACATTAAACAGAATTAGCTACCCACAAATAGGAAAATGACGTGTCAAATAATGGTGATTTCATAGTTTTTAGTGCTCCAGTTAAATTGGTAGAGAAACCTGGTATGTGAATACTATTATTTGATCAAATGTTCCAGTGGGGTGGGAGGGGGGAAGTGCTGCATGCCAGTGGCTCTCATCTGTAATCCTAACTACTCAAGAGGCTGAGATCTGAGGATTAAGGTTCAAATCCAGCCCAGGCATAAAAGGTGGTGATGAGGGCTGGGAAGGTGGCTCAGTGGTAGAGCACTTGCCTTGCATGCATGAGGCCCTGGGTTCGATTCCTCAGCACCACATAAGCAAAAAGAAAAAATCTGGAAGTGGCGCTGTGGCTCAAGTGGTAGAGCACTAGTCTTGAGCTGAAGAGCTGAGGGACAGCGCCCAGGCCCAGAGTTCAGGCCCCACGACCAGACCCCCCCTCCAAAAAAAAAAAAAAAAAAAGTTGGTGAGACTCATCTCTGATAAGCACCCAAAAAAAGGCTACAAGTTGAGCTGTGACTCAAGTGGTAAAGCACTAGCCTTGAACCACCAAAAAAAAAAAAAGCTCAAGACAGAAGCCCAGGTCCTTAGTTTAAGCTCAGGACACATACACACATACACACATACACACACACTCTCTCTCTCTCACTCTCTCTCTCTCTCTCCCCTACAAATCACACTCCTCCAAACAATTGGGCTTCAAATGCCTTTCCCTCCTCCTACTTATTTTCTATAAACATTTCATCTGTTTCAGGCTGACAGTTTGGTCATTACAAAGATTTATACTGTAACGTGTCATTTCATAATTCTTAATAAATCACCAACTACATTGAAATTTTACTCACATTTTGCCCTTTAAGGTCATCATTAAAAGCACTGTATGTTTGAATACACTTTCTATCAAATGCAAGCCTTATTCATTTTTCCCCTGTAAGTAGTCATATTGGGTGAATTTGTTTGCAAGCAAATACTGATACTCAAATCTCTGTGTGAGGCGATGTCCAGTGATAACTCACTTCCTATGTCACTGTGCCCTGGGAATGATTCTATTTTAAAAGAAGAATTTAGAGTCTTTAACTCCCATTTCCTGCATGGGAAGCAGGGAATGTTTCTCTTTTCCACTTCTTGCAACTTTCATCCAGTTATGTTAAAATAAATGACTCCTTTGGAGTCATTCCAAATGTCTCTGTCATTTTAAATAATCAAACAGAACTGGAAAAACAGGAAATAAACTGTTTTGGCTTCTTGGAACAAGCAGAGCAAATAATCAAAACAAAGCTAAATATGAAAAAAAAATAAAAGAGAGAGACCTAAGAAACTAAACAAAAATGTTTCCTTTTCATGACAGTCATTCCGGATGGCATCCACATTCTGTGGTAACAAATCAGAACTTTATAAGCAGTTTGTAATTTTTCTCTAATTTTTCAGAGGTGGTCAAGCCCTAGTGATTGCTTGAAAGAAAAGAAAGGAGCCTCAATATGCGTGTTCCAAGAACCAATGGCTCAATATGCTATTTAAAATAAAACAGAAGCTGGGACACCTACATAGGAGGCTGAGAGCTGAGAATCATGGCTTGAAGCCAGCCTGGATGGGAAAGTCTGTGAGACTCTTATCTCCAATAAATTATTAAAAAAAAAAAAAAAAAAAAAGCTCAAATGAGGAAGTGGTATTCTGGCTCAAAGTGGTGGAAAACTAGCCTTGAGCAAAACAACTCAGGGACAGCACCCAGGGCCTGAGTTCAAGCCTCAACATGAGAAAGGAAAGAAAGGAAAGACTCATTTTTGTGGTTAAGCAACCTACATCTGTACTTGATAATTATCCATTATTGGAATTGTGTTTTACTAATACTTGAAGAGAACAGGAAAGTATCTGTCTGTATTTCTTTGTTATTAGTAGTTACTAATTTGTTTATCAATAGTTGCTTCTTCCCCCATAGAGGGAGAAAACCCACTTGATACTGTCAAGCAGATACAGACTAGAATAAACAAATGGTGTTTTCCCATATGAATAGCATGGTTCATCTGACTGTCAATCTGTTTAGATTGAAAGATGCCTAGGAGATTAGTGAAGCCAGCCTCTGGGTAGATCTGTGAGGGTGTTCTAGCAAGGATTAAGAGGGGAGGGGAGAATCTACTCTGAATGGCAGGGATTCAGGCTGGGGGTGCTGATGGAGTAAGAGGAGAGGAAGGAAGATGCCCGTTCACCCCAGCATGCCTGTCTCTGCTGCCATGAAGTTTGCTGCACTCTCCACCGTGATGGAAGGAAGCCTCAAAACCTGCGAACTGCATAACAAACCCACCTTCCTCTCTGTTTATATCAGGGATTTTATCACTGAGACAAGAAGTCTCACACAGTATTTATAAGAAAATAGTTATGTAACCACTTGTCAACAATAGCTGGGATTAGTGTTTGTCATTTTCGGTTTGGTTTGTTTGTTTGTTTTTCTGGGGTCCGGTCCTGGGCCTGAACTCTGGGCCTGGGCGCTGTCCCTCAGCTCTTCAGCTCAAGGCTAGCGCTCTACCATTTGAGCCACAGCGCCACTTCCGGCTTTTTTCCTTTTTGCTTATGTGGTGCTGGGGAATCGAACCCAGGGCCTCATGCATGCAAGGCAAGCGCTCTACCACTGAGCCACCTTCCCAGCCCCTTCTTTGTCATTTTCTAAATGTTCTAAGAAACTATCACATAATAGTAGTAATCTCATAGCATCTTACTGTTCAGGGTATATTCTTTGCCCCTCTCCTTTTTGAAACAGGTGTTCTTCATGTTGCTTAGACCGCCCTTAAGCAATCCTCTGTCCCCCGTCTCCTAAGCGGCTGGGCTAGGACTGGTGCCATACCCAGCTTCCCTTCTTTTCCATCCTCCCATAGCTACATGGGAAGGTAATGCTAGTGGATGTAAAAAGTACAGTCTTGGCACAACAGATTCAGCTGGAATCCATCCTCCAATGCAAATCTTAACCATTTTCACACTCTTGGAAAGCAGATAAAGTAGAAATGGTATAAGATAGTAAATAGAAATATATGCAATAAACCAGATGTCACTTTAATGTATTCAGGCTATACAGAAGTTCATTCTCTCGATAGCATTGTTCTATGTCCTACCAATATTTACTTAAAATTTTACTATTTATTGATACAATGATTTAGCATTTGGGGGAGGTGTGTCTGAGTAAGGGTGGACTCTAGCATTTCAATGTTATTGTTTAACACAGTATCAGAGTTTTTAAATCTGTCAGGTTATAATTATCTAAAAATCTGAGCTATAAGTCTCTCTGTGTGTACATGTGTGTGTGTGTGTGTGTGTGTGTGTGTGTGTGTTTATGTGGTGTGCGAGAGAGACAGAAAGAGAGAGAACACAAGAGAGCAGGAGAAAACAGGAAAAGGAAAGAAGTGGGTGGATGAGAGAGAAGGAAAGGGAGAAAGGGGGAATGGCTGGGAATCAAAACTAAGGGTGCCGTGCATGCTACTAATCAATTCAGTGTCCTACCTCTGACCTACACCTCTAGCCCAAAGTGGATCTTTTACAATAGCATTTTAGAGAGAAAATATTAAGATTGGGGGGGGGAGGCTTTTGTGTTTATAAACTGATGACAAAAATATTGTAAAGTACATACATTTTATCTTTTAGGTTGGAGAATAGGAAACTGGATAGATAAAAGGTATCCTAAAGGGTGAGCTAATTCATGAGTGATACTCACGAGACATTACATTGAAAAATGAACTATACAAGTTGGAGAAGATGGAGGTTCAGGAAGTAAAAGGCTGGGAGAAAATTAGCAAAGAGGTGACACTGTTCAAAAAGAAATGTACTTAATACCTGACTAATAACTGTAACCCCTCTGTATATCAATTTCACAATAAAAATTTAAAAACAATAAAAGTCACTGATTAACTTTTTTTTTAAAGGTATCCTAAAACATCTATTATACTATTAAACCAGGGAGGTAAAATGTATGGCCCATTCCAATATTAAATGCAAAATTAAAATGCAAACAATTTTTTAAAAATGGTTAAACATAATTTTGAGCAACTTACATCCTTACTTAACACTTCGCTATCAAGAGAATAAAATCTGCTCATAAGTTCTACCTTCAGGAATCTAGTTGGGCATCTGAATAACACAGGTTTTGTTAAGTGACTCAGAAGATAATTACTATACAATCATGGAAGAAAGAACATGTTGACGTTATTATTCTCCTAGGAGTATGTCCCTTCAGCTTGTTCAGACTGCCCTGGACCTGGAGCTAGAAGAGCAGGTTGTAACCTCAATCTTCTGCTCCATATACTGTACTCCCTAAGGACAAACTAGCACAGAACAGCTGGATGACCCAGTTTTCCAACCCTCTCCTCTCCTCAATCCTGGTTCAACAGAAGAGCACAGATGATGGGAAAATCTCCACTAGTGCTCAAAGCCCCAGGGCTCATAGAAATAGGGTACTTTAGAATACTGAGAAAGGAGAGGTTTCCCAGAAGATCCGTGGCATTTATTATTCATGTAAAATTAGCATAAAATAAACCAAACTTTTGCCCTGCTATCCTTACATGGCCTCTCAGGCTTATTAGGATGATACTGTTTTCATAACCCAGCTGCATTTAAAAGTATCAATTATTTTATTACCTTCAATAATAGAACAACACGTGCTGATTTCAAAGAAACAACTTAATCAGAAACCTTCAAATTAACTTCTACATCCATTTAGATGTCTCCCAACAAGATGTAATCATTTCCAGTTCAACCTTACTGGGATCCATTCTAATGACAC